CTGAGAGGGAGAAAAGAGGAGGTGCTGCTCCAGACGATGAGGTAGAGTCTGTCTTCATTAAAGAAATGTTTTAAATTGAAGAGAAGGATGAAAACGTCTCAACATTTCTCCTGCAGCGACAGCGCCACCTGGCCGCCAAGAGGGAGAGCGTGTTAAAGTCTCTGAGGGGTCTGCTGAAGGCCGGGAGAGGAGGGAGGAGGAGGGAGGCAATGAGGAGCGCTCTGTAAGAGGAAGGAAACAAAAGTGATACGGTAAAATCAGTCAGGAGTTTAAACCTCTGTCTGTTTTCTCATCAGGAGAGGCGGCGACGGAGCGAAGAGGAGGAGGACAGGAAGCCCGACAAGGTCAGAGTGGAGGAGTGCGAAGGAGTCAACCGCAGCCAAGAAAACATCAGAGAAGAAGAAGGAAGGAGCCAAGAAGGGGAACGGGAGGACATCGGAGAAAAAGTTGGAGAAAAGTCGAGATGTGGAGCTGAAGACAAAGGAAAAGGAGGAGGAGAAGAAGACTGATGAAGAAAAGAAGGAGGAGAGAAAAATAATTGGAAAGATCGTCAAGGCAACAGCCGGGAAGGGTCCGAAGGTCCAGGTGAAGACGATGATGGGAGGAATGACCGTGAGGGAAGAGGAGAAGGTGGGAGGAACATCTGCAAAGGAGGTGGAGAAGAAGAAAGAGGAGAAGGTGGAAAAGAAAAGAAGTTTGGAGAAAGAGAAGAAGAAGGGCGCTGAAGAAAAAGAGAAGTCGGATGATGGGAGCTCGAAGAAAAGCATCGAGGTCCAGATGAAATCTGAAAGGACTCAAGCGGCAACGGAGGAGAAAAAAGCCAAGAGCGTGACGGAGGCTGCGAAGAAAAACGAGGAGCGCAAGGAGGAGGAAGCAGCAGCAAGAAGACAAGAACAGGAGGGTGAAGAAAAGAAGAAGGACGAGGCGGAGAAACCAAAAAAGGCGGAAAATGCAGAAACATGCGAAACGCAAAAAACAACGGGCGAGAAGAAATGTGAAGCCGCGGAGCCGGGCGGGCAGACGAAGACCGGCGAGGAGAAGAAAAGTGACGGAGCGAGCCGACCCGAGACGTCAGCAGCAGTGGAGAAGAGCGCTGGAGGAGAAGGTAACCCGGTAAAGGAGCAGCAGAAGAAGCGCTCGACGGTGACGCTGACGGACTCAACGCTGCACCGGATCCACGGAGACATCCGGATTTCTCTGAAGAACGACAATCCCGTAAGAGCCGAAACTTAAACTGGCTGCAGATTAACGACGGCACAAAATGTAAAACCGTTCACAGTGATTTTATAAAAAGTGAGCCGACATTAGATCATTTTTTATGATTCTCACTGCTTTAGCTATCAGGAGCTACATCGCCCCCTTGTGGCCAGAAAATCTAAATGCAGCTTTAATATTTCAAAAAAGCTGCATGTTTACTGAAACTGAACGACGTGACTAATGTGCTTCATCCTCAGGACATCAGCAAGTGTCTGGCGGCGCTGAATCAGCTCAGTATGGTTTATGTGACGTCTCAACACGTCCAGAGGCACAGCGAGCTCGTCGCCACGCTCAGGAAGGTAAACGCACATACGCAAGCAATGCATCTGACCTGTCACACTACTATGATGTCATCGCTTTGTGTCCTCTCAGGACAAGAAATCACAAAAATGGGGTGGTAAGGGTTGGGGGTTAGGGTGTCACTGTGATTATGTTTAGGATTAGGTGTGATGGTGTTTCCACGTAGCAAAACTATGACATCACTCCAAGGTGATTGGTCACTTGCAATCTTAAACCTGGACTGAATTCAAAATAAATAAAATGAATAAACAAATAATAACTATACAAATCGTGTCAGTTGTTATTATGTATTTGTTTTCTTCGTGAGCAGATGCGTTACTACCGGGCAAACCAGGACATCATGGACAAGGCGTCGATGCTCTATAACCGCTTCAAGAACGCCTTCCTGGTGGGGGAGGGGGAGGAGGTGGTGAGCGCCGCCTTTCTGCGCTCGCTGCTGGAGGAGAAGGAGGAGGAGGAGGCGCAGAGGGTGGAGCGCTGTATGGAGAAGGTGAGGAAGGAGGGGCTGCTGCACGAGGCGAAGAGAAGTATGGGGGAGGTGAACAAGAAGAGGAATAACGGAGAAGATGGAGAGGAGAAAGCTGAAGGTAAAAATAAGAAATTACACAAACTTACAAGAAGTAAAAATATTAAAGACAAGAGTTTATAGCTTGTATTAGAAAAGATTTTAAAAGTAAAATTGAGAAAACATAATGTCATAAATAACACTATGAAATATTTACACCGCATCTTTTGTTGTTGTATCATTCAATAATTAAAATTATATACATAAAAAATTGCTTACTTTTAGATTTTTGTAAGTTTTATTTATTTTTTTTATTAAAGCATTAATACTGACATTTTGTGAGGGGCGTTTATTTAAATGTAATTTATATATATATATATA